AAATTATATTTGGCTCATTAAATTTAAATATTTTTGTTTCGTTATGAATCGGGTACATTTTTTCTGTTTTCGTCATTTGTCATAACTGTTATAAACATTATTATTAATTATAAATTCATCAAAAAATGCGCAACTTTAATAAATATCGAATCTGTAAACATTTAATATAAAATTTAATTAGTTTTATGGAATATAAAAATTTGTCTACAAATTTAATTGTCGAAGTAATTATGATTGTGAAGTACACAAACCGAGTACGTGTATTTTTTTATATATTTAAATTCGTCTGGTATGCCTTTTAGCGGCGAATATTCGTTATTTGGCGGTGGAAGATTTTAGCAGCAGAACACCGGATGAAATACAGTTTAAATGTCTGTAAAATATACGTTATTTTGGCCAGTTATAGTCATTTAAACAGCCTTTAATTAAACACGAGAACACTGCTTGATGTCACTGTCGTTGTTCTATATGCTCTTTAACCGAATCTCGAATGGCGTCGAAGTATCCATCCGTAAATTGGGATGGAAAGTCAAATCCAGTCGATTAAGTCGTAGCCGGGTAATAAGTTAATTCCTGGTGTATGTCATATTCGGGTGAAAGGTCACTTCCGAGTGGCGATGTTACATTCGGTGGAAAGTCGAAATCTGCGCAAGGAGGCCTGACCAGATAACAGGTTTATGTCTTCCAGCAGCAAAACAACCTTTTCCATCAAGGCCTTTTACGCTCGACGGACTCTTCCACCATTTCTTCGGACTCCTTTCTGTCCACTCTGGTCTCACTCGACGGTCTTTCCATCATCCATTCCGGAACTTCCGGATATCGCTCCTCCAGATATTGGACGAGAGACGAGGCGGTGTCGTACGGAGTTACGACCTCCACCCGTTTGACGTCAGGTATATGACACTTGTCCTCCGCATCCTTCGGAAGCATTCTTATTACACCTGGCCAAGACCAGGCGTCATCCTCGGACTCTGCATTGTCCGAAATGTGCAACTTCTTCAACTCTCTAAAATTCTCCATTCTGCAAAGGAAAATGAGACAATTAATTGACAGATATTCCTATTCTAATGTGAATTGTAAATTTCTAATGCAAAAATGATTAATTTCTGTTAGAAAAAAATATTATTATATATAATAATTTGAATTTTTTCGACAATTTTTAAAGTTCGATAGAGGAATTAGTTTATAAGAATTCTGTTGACTGCCGTAACACAAAACAACTGCGAAAATAAAAGAATTATTTTAATTAATTAAGATTCAGACGACATTAATATATATACGTATGTAATTTATAACCTATAGCGGAAAATAACAGATTTTAAAGTAGGCTATTTATTAATTTTTATTTTGCTTTAACAATGGAAAGATGCGAATTTTCCGAAGGAAACCGATGGCCGCCAACTGTGATATTTTGCTGATCAAAGTTAAAGAGTATTTAAATCTACAAAGGTCAAATGTCAAACTTACATCACTTTAAACAATCTCTGCAAACGAAGCAAAACTTGAAAAAGCACTCGCATTAAACAATCGCACGAGTCAACAATAGATTCTCTCTCAAGAACGAAAAAATTTTATTGTTGCATAGTAACTCGATTTAATGTTAAAATTTTGCATTTTGCAGCCAATTTCGTCATTTCCGTGTCCGTCTTTCTAAAAAAAGTGATTTTCACGGATCATTGCACGAGTTCGTCTCACGGGGCGGACAGTTAAAAAAAATCAAATTTGACACGCATACTTTTGACCATGAAATTTTAATTTTGTAACTAAAAACTTTAGTTCCAACGTTTATCTATAGGAAAAAATTTGCTGAAATTTGCATGCAACTGGAGTGCATATATAATGGAGTTTGGAGCTGTCACGTGATACAACAATGACGTTATGTTTCATATGACGTAATTCATTTCTTTAATACGATCCGATTTTCGAAATAAACCAAAAAAAGTACAACATTACATAAGTTAGATGTATGTATACGTAACTGCCAAGTGTCGTAGCAACTGGTAGAACGGCCTAGGAGTGTATATGGAACAAACAAGCATTCTCATTTATATGTATACATTGACTAGCAGTTGAGCCCAGCCTGCTCGGATAAACAGTAACAACAAATAATAAAAAAATTACATTTTTTATATTATATCATATAGTATTTAATTTATATAACTACGAATGTTATCTTACGCAAGGGTTTGAAACACCAACTGCTACGCATTTAAAAAATTTTTTAAATTGTGTACAGTAGAAGAATAAATAATTTTGAAAATGTGTTAGGTAAAGGTTTATTATACCAAGTGAACTATCTAAGTTAACCTTTGTAGTTACATAAATCAAATACTATAGTGTAATAAATATTGAAACATAAACCATATAAAGAGTTTGGTTATTTTGGCCTACCATTATCATGTTTATCATTATACTCAAACGGCACGAAATGGTACAATTTCATAGGTCAAGTAGACACCAATGTGGTATCTTCGATTTTTTCAGATACCATAATTTTTTCTTACTTCTAAGAAAGTGTTCCATTCACGGGCAAATATCAAAGGATCATATGACAACGAATCAAATTTCGCGAAAAACGAACTGACTGTACACCCTCGATAACCACTTACAACATATTTTGTGCGGACCGAAACTTCGTATTTTGGATTTCCCAATTCCAATGCCATCGTACCGCTGGTGCGATAGAAAATCGGAATCGTTGCGAAAGAGGTTTGAAGTATTTCGAGGAATAATTGTTAAATATAGTCATGCAGCGCAGCTACATTTTTTCTCTAACCTGATTCTCTCTGCATAATCTTATCACTAACTTTTTAATACAGCCGTAGAAATGCCCATGTTAAATCTTTAAAAGAATAGCATAGATCATAGTATTTTCGTTAATTTGGGAATTCACTATATAGATATTACTATATCAACAGTTCATTCTACATAATAAAGTACGAGTATTTGCAGCGATTGGAAACCTCGAAGTAATTTTTACAGACGGGTTAAAGTAGATATGTCAGGACTTTACTGAATCCTTGTAATTAAAAATGTTCTCAGGGTTGACCAAGTAAAAAACAGACAATATTGAAATTTAACAGAAAGTTTCAAACTAGCAATTGCGTGGGGAAGAAGCAATAGATCATAAAATACACTTATATAACCTTTAAACTTTTACTCGGTTTTTTAATATACGAGAAATAAACTAACTTAGAAAATAGATACACGTAACTAAGATAAACAACCAATGATAATGCAATACAATTATTGGAAAAATCAAATTCGAATCCTTTCCATTGTGTCTAAGATGCCCATATACTAACAAAAACTGCTATAGTCATTTGAAATAATTGCAGAAATGTAATTCAAACAGCTACAATTGTTGGAATTTTTATATAAGCTGTCATTAATGCAAAGTATGTGTACATAAAAGAGTGTACAAAATAATTCATTATGCAAAACCAATGAATAAGTCTTCTAAACATTAACGAGTAATTATTTATCCTGATATCGTCACAATGCCGGAATGCAATTTTTAATTCTATTTTAAATTTATTTAATATAAAATATATGTGTTGGTTTTAGTACTGTTTTTCTTCTGTGTATCACACTTTCCCTGTTAACAATAGCCATGCAGGTCATCTGTGTTTAGAGAAAATATTTTGATTTCAAATAACATGACTTTCGGAAAAAACAGGAGTTGTCTTATAGTTAATCCAGGTCATTTGACCGTACAGTTTCCATATCTCGTTTTAACTTTAATTTATATAATACCTTTTTCGAGATTAACGGAGGACAGGCAGACAGTGAGACGACATAGGAATTCTGTGTACAACTTTTTCAAATTACAGCCCAACAACACACGATTCTACTAATTCCCGTTGAATCAATTTATAAATTACAGGAATAAGAAAAATTGACAATCTACACAATGTAAAGAGTCAAAAATCTATTAAGAAGTCTTCAGAAGAAAACCATGCAAAAATATAAAAAAAAATTCACAAGTGGACCATTAGTCTTTAGCCATTAGCCAGTAGAAGGAAGCAATGGGCATGTTTTAAAATTACTGTTTCAAACTTGTAAACACGGAAAGAGAATTCTTTTCAAATCCATAGCGATTTCGGCCCTGCTCATTCTCAGAGGATTGAGGAATAAGTCATAAGCTACAGACAATTATAGCTCTCGCTCGCACTATAGGCACACACAATACAGAAAATTATCTGCAAATATAGTACGTACTGCACATATTATACATATTTATTTGTATAATCGACATTTTTATTGGAAAACAAAAATGTATGATAAAATAATTTAGTTATATATCAGAAATTGATTATACATTTTTCATGTTTGCATATATATATTTCATATTTTTCATTCTATAGTCATGTTTCCGCTCTGAGAGCAGTGGAAGGACCATTTTTAAGGGGTCAAAGATGGATGGTCGAGACGGTAGCCTATCGAATTTGTGTTAGCAACTCTTCAGTATTTTTTCATACACATTCTGTCGCAGTTTTGTCGCGAGACGACCCTAATCATCCGGCAGCCCAATATTCCATGTGCGTGAAAAAAGAAAACTAAGTACCCATAAAAATGGAATGAGACAAATATTAAATTTTCAGTAGATTGGAAATCAATAATTCAAATTAAATTTCCGATACCTTTCTTCATTGATTTCACTCAGATATTAGTTTTATTACTATTTATTTAAAACATTAAATCATACATACATAGTCTCATAAATCCGCATACATATTGTAATTATATTATTTTGACATATGTATTAAAGTCACATTTCACATATAAAAGTCATTAAACTTTGAAATTTATTTTAAAATATTTAAACGAATAAAGTATATTTTTCATGTCATAGAAATTGCAAATTTCGCAGTATTTGTTCGTTTCAAATACAATATATTTAATGAAAATAGTTAAAAATTTCGCCAAATATTCCGCAATCTTCATGCATACATTTACGGAAAATTGCCCTAGAATAGACAATTATTAAATGAAATTTTTCAACAAATAAACATCATCATTACATAAAAATAAATATACTAATGTTAAAAAATGTATAAGTATGTTAAAATAGAAAATTACACATACCATGATAACATAATCATCGATTTGTTCCAGACTTGGATAGTCAACTTCAACAATTTGTAAAAATCTACGAGTTATTTCTAGTACTTGAATTAGATGATTTTGTATGAGTAAACTTTTCATTTTATAGGGATCAATGTACCTATAATCACTCTTCAAGACGTCGTGACAATGTAAGGATTCAAGCATGATATGCATCACTGTACCTCTGAAGAATATTGCTTGAATTTCTTCATTTCTTGTTAATTGCATTCCTTGCAACCCTCTCGAATAATATGATCCGAAATCACACATTATGTCCGCTTCATAATTAATATCATTCAACGTAACATCTCTCGCTCTTAGCACTGTTCTACGTAAATGAGGAATCACATCTTTCGTATACCATCGATTTTCGTACCTTCCATACATTTTAGGTTTTAATTCAGCCCTTTTATACAACATTTCTAAATGACAATATTTACATCCAAATCCATCCGGATTCACGTCCGTACTACATAAACCATCCATGTTATTACAAACGTATTCTTGTCTTTCTCTAATACTGCTTATAAAAAACTCTATGCAATTTTTGCAGGCAGGACCTCCATAATAGTCTGTCCACGCTTGACGTTTTCCACATACACAGACTGACATGATATTTTTACCTGCAATATATCCATTACTTTTAGTTTCTTTACAATAAGTCATTTTTCAAGAGCTTTTACAGTAGACTCCCATATAACACTGTTGATAATTCCGTGTTATATGACTTACATTTTGTACGAGTCACTTAGATTTTACAAATACATGTGTCGGGCTGTGAACGGCTCACGTATTTGTAAAATCTAAGTGACTCGTACAAAATGTAAGTCATATAACACGGAATTATCAACAGTGTTAGAAGGTGGCCTACTGTATTAATCTATATATAAAACTAAAACAGATAGTAACTCACCATTAATATTATACTCTATAGTCTACTTTATGAATGTAAATTAATATTAAAATTAATGTTATAAATCAAAATAAACATACAAAACATTATCGACGTTACTTCTAATATATCTAAAATTTTCTATTTGTTCGTTAGTTGCCATGGTCGTAGATTATTTAAAAGATTAAAATCCAATCAAATTCGATGAGCAAGAAATGTAAATAAAAACTGGAATTTTCTACGGGTATATTTTTACTCTTATATTATGTTTAACTGATTTGCATAATATTCACGAATCATTATTAACTCTCACTCGATTTATCTAATTACATATATAATTAACAATGTTAGTAAAACTCTTTTTAATTGGACTGCAATTTTTCAAATTGCAGCCCAATAAGCTTAATATGAAAATACTTGCTGATGTTGATAAATAAACATTTCAGTCATAATGAAATTAATATATAAACTTTATGCTGCCTGCGAGGATTCGATAATGTCATTTGAATAATACCGTGTAAATAAGGCCTGGCGAAGTTATAAGAGAGGAGATGGTGTTGCACTGAGTAGCCAATTTATAAGCTTTTTCATTGCCCTCTCTAATAATGTGAGCCTCTAGTTTAGTTTCTTGGGCCATATTCTTGATATTCGACAGATAGACGGCATGCTTCATCATTTCCATTTTGTTGTCGTTGAGAAGTGAGTCTGCCGAACTACTGAGCCAACTCAGAAGAAGAGAAAAGAGGAAAATACGAGATAAAGTTCAACGGATTGAACTTTCGAAAACGAAGGAAACTTCTGCATTTCTCGCGACAACCCGGTATCCCTGTTCTGCATAAACTGCATGTAGAGTGAGAGTACTTATCTAGAAAGTTTTCTTTCGTCTGTTTCTCCCTCTTTTCGCGTCTTCATAAAGCATCCTAAGACGGTTACAATACAGTTAAATACATAAAGCAATGTACGCGTTATGTAGTAAAGCAGCTCAAATACAGTTGAATAACAAAGGCTATATCAGGTAAAGCAATAGCATAGTCTATTTGAAATGAAACAGGGTATGCAATTAGTTTGCTTATTAAGCTTATTATTTAGTCATTTTTTGCTTATTCAATGGAATTGACATAATGCAATTCAAACAAAATGAACTTTCTTATTGGTTTGCTTATTTCGCTGCATGCCAC